TTTGGGCCTAAAAAACCGGCCTAAAAACCTTTAAAACCGCTTTTTAGTTTTTTGGCATAAAAAACCCGTTAAAAAAACTCTTTTGGGTTTTTTGATCAGCTTTTTAGTCCAAAAAACTCTTTTATTGTAGTTTATTAATCTACGACGTTTTTTTAGAGTATAGTGCCGTATTCCTCTCTATTTCATCTCTTCTTTTTTTAAGATGGGCTGCACACCAGCTGTACCAACGATAATTGAGCGCAATAAGTTAATGGAAATTAACAAGTCTTCCACACTACCCGACGGTTTAGATCCAAATAATTTTCGTACGATTACACTGTCAAAAATACGAGAAGTCAATCACAATACAAAATTTTTTACATTCAACTTCAATGATCCAAAATCAGTATTAAATATGAAAATCTCATCGTGTATACTGTTCAAAGCAAATATCGGTGGAAAAGTTGTCTATCGGCAGTACACACCAACCACACGACCTAACACTTGCGGTTATCTCGAAGTTTTGATCAAATATTATCCCGCAGGTGTCATGTCGAAGCATATACACAACATGAAAACAGGAGATCAAATTGAGATCAAAGGACCGAGTAAGTAGTATCTTATGCTGCAGTATAGTAATTAATTGTTCTGTATTCCTTCTAGTTTTAAAATACGATTATCAGTCAAATAAATTTAAAAACTTGGCACTAATTGCTGGTGGTACAGGTGTTACTCCCATGCTACAAATGATAGAAGAAATTTTGTTCACTGCAGATGATAAGACAAAAGTGACACTGCTCTATGCGAACACAAGTTTTGCTGATATTCTGATTAAACACGATCTCGATAAATTAGCACAAAAATATTCCCATCAGTTTAAATGTTACTATACAATTGATAAATATGCCGATACAGTGGAGGAAGAAGTATGGACAGGAGAAAGAGGGTTAGTGAACGATAAAGTATCAATCAAAAACTTTTACTTTGTACCTTGCTTTTAGTCATATAACGACAAGTATGCTTGAGAACTTGATCCCAATACCTCCTAGCGATGATGATGAAAGCGTTATGGCTATGGTTTGTGGACCATCTGGTTTTATGGAATTGATATGTGGTGATAAGACACTTGATTCTAAACAAGGTGAAGTCAGCGGCCTGTTGAAGCAATTAGGTTTCACTGAGAAGAATGTTTTCAAATTCTGAACATCAAACTTTTTCGTATACTTAAACCCATATGAATGAAAACTGTCAAACTCATTCTGAAGTCTAATGCTTTCAAACGAGTTTAAAAAGAAGACGTTTATTTAAAAACCCGAAAATGTCGAAAATACACGTTCTTTGTGGGAATTGAAATAGCAATGCTTAGAATTCATCTTCTTCAAAATGCATCTACCTCTCCAGAGTAAGAGAATGATACATATCTGCAAAGCCATGATGTGTAACAAGTTTCATAGAAGATCCATTAACTCGCTTAAAATAA